GGGGTGCGCGCGCGCCGTCCTGCAGCGTCGCCGGCCGCAGGCCAAGGAGCTCGGCTCCTCGAGAGCACCGACGGACGACGATCGGCTCCTCAGCAGTGGGACGCCGAGCTGGAGGCTCGGCCCGGAGCTCGCGCGGGCACGTGGAGCTTTCCGCTCGGGCCAGCAGGAAACGGGCGCCCCGCACAGCGACGCCCGCCGTAGAGTGCCGAGAGCTCGGCTCGACGCGAGCGCCGAGGAAAAGCGATCGGCTCCGCAGCAGTGGGAAACCGAGCTGGAGGCTCGGGCGGGAGCTCGCGCGAGCACATAGCGAGGTGCGTGCGCGGCGGCGTGACACAGGTGAGCGGGCAGCTGGCGCACATTTCGACTGTGGGAGCTGCCAGGAGTTTGCTCTCTCCGTTCACATACCTTTGCAGAATTTTTAGCAATACCTTAAAGAGAGGTTACAGGCGACGTAAGATCCGTTAGCGGAATAGAGAGAGAGAGAGAGAGAGAGAGCCTGACTCAGGCACTCAATCTGCCGATGCGTGATTGTGTGTGGGCTGCTCCGAGGGGGCCCTGTGCAATCCGATGGGTAGGGAGTCTGTGCCCGGGCGGTGTCCGGTGTGGAGTCTCTCTCTGATCCCACCTGTGGTGTTGGGTGTGAGGTTGTGGCGGCTTCGATCCCAAGGGGGGGAGCTGATCCCACTCAGTAACCAACTCTCAGGGGCAGTAGGTGGGCGAGCCTCGAGCGCGCTCATCTCGATCGTGAAGGCGTCGCTACGCGCGGTCTTCCGCGGGGGGAGCTGCGTCGACGGGTGCGGGACCGCGGCGCAGACAGCGCTGCGGCGATGCCTCCGGCCGTTTGCGGCGGGCGGCTTGCTGCTCGCTGCATGGCGAAAAACTCGTCTCGCCACACGCCAAGGGCTTACCGCCCGCTCGCCCGCGGCCGCAGGCGTGGAAGCCAAGCATCCTGGCGTCCATGGCAAGCGCTCACATGCCAAAAGACACCTCGCACCGCGCGAGACGTGACCAAAGCGGCACGCCTCGGCGCCGCGAGAGCAGCCGGTCGACGTCGGCACCAAGCGCGCGGCCGCCAGGCGCCTCCGAACCGACAGGGGCGCCGCGGCAGTAGAGAGCACTCCACCCGCCATACCGTTGTTATGGCGGCCGTAACCTCGAGCGGAGAGAGATCTAACATCGAAGGCAGCTCAAAATAAAAATGCGCCGGCGCCACAAAACACCGCGCTCGCCCCCAACCCTTCGCCATGCCGTCCACGGGCCGAGTTCGCATGCCGCAACACAACCGCGTCCAGACGTCGGCGTCTCTCAGCACCCACGGCATCTGGCAAAACGCCATTGGGTGCGGCCGCGTTTGGCCTGCCCCCGCACTCACCGCCGCGCTGACCGCCCATCGCCGCGGCAGGCACGATCCGTACGCCGGAGATGTGGACAAGGCAAAGGCGGAGACGAGCGCCGCTGCTGGCGGCGACAGCAGCGCGTACGATAACATGAAGGACCTTTTCGCTCTCGCGCGGCAGCAGGGGAGGCTGGCGGCTGACGACACGCGCGGCGGGTGGAAGGGGCAGGGCAAGCTGGGCTGGAAGGCGGGCGGGAACTGGGTGTCCGGCAAGGACCTGGGCGAGGTATCTCCCGAGCGCAAGGCGGCCGCAGACGACGACATGCCCTCGTCGACCTCGTCGTGGTCCGACATGTCCGACACCGAGGTGGCGCAGTACAAGGCGCCGGCAAAACGGAGCTCGGCCTCCTTCTTCGCGGCGCCGGCGGCGGCCGGCGGCGGCGGGGAGCGGAAGCGTCGGCGCGACAAGGACGAGCGCAAGGAGAAGAAGAAGAAGAAGCACAAGAGCGAGCACAAGCACAAGAAGAGCAAGCAGAAGCACAAAGAGAAAGACGGCCACAAAGAGAGGAAGCGGAGGCGTGACTCGGACTGATGAGCGATGCAGTATGCTGGGTTCGCGTTTTCGGAAAAGCTAAACATGCGTCTATCATACATAGTGCCGCCCTTCTCTTAACAGCTCTCTCCGCAGGCGCGGGCGTCGCGGGGCGCGCCGGGCCCGCCTCGCCCCGTAGTACAGGTGGGCGCGCTGGGGGGAGGCGGGGGGACCGGGCCGCCACGCGCCGCCTCTCTCTCTCTCCCCCCACCACCTTGCACAGGACCAATCTACCCACAGACCGCACAGGGAGCCCTACCAGGCCATCGCGAAGCACATCCCTTGCCCCCTTCCCCTATCCCTCACCCCCAGCCCCAACCGACGAGAAAACAACCGCGTCCGGGGCGCGCAGAGCAGCCAAGCGCGCACAAGCGCCGGCTGGGCCACGACGCGCCGCCGCCGAAAAGAGTAGCAAATCGCGGCTCCCGCGCGTCACTTGGCCAGCGCCGTGGCGGGCCGCCAACGGCCCTGCAGCACCACCATCCATGTCGGCATGCAAGTCGCCGGCGCCGAGCCGCGCGTCTGGCTCTTGTGCGGCGGCGAGTGCGAGCGCCAATAAGTGTCGCTGAGCGGCGGCTCGTCGCGGCCGCCCCCGCCCCCGCCGCACGCGCCCGCGTTGGCGCCGCCGGGCGGGCCTCCGCCTCCGGGGGCGGCGGCCGCCCCCGCGCTGCTGCTGGCGCCCGGCGCCCCAGCCTCCTTTGGACTCACCGGGCCCTGGATGGCTACCGCGCTCAGCCCCAAAACTGCGGCCGCCGCGCCGCACCCGCCGCACCCGACGCTGCCGCGGGCAGGCGGCGGCGGATCCGCGTACTCGGCGTCGGCGCGGTACGCGCCCTCGCCATTGGCTTCGGCCGCGCCGCCCTCGCCCGGCCCGCCGCCGCCGCGCTGCGACGCCACCGCAGTCGTAAAGTAGATGGTCTGCACGGGCTGCGGCAGCTGCGCGCGAAGCTGCGCCTCGCGCGCCGCGGGCCCGAAGAACTCGTCCTCCCCCGCGCGGTCGCGCCCGTCCGCGTTGTAGAAGCCCACCAGGATGAAGCGGTCGCCCGACCGCACCTCGTTGCCCGCGTGCTTGATGTTTCCATCGTGCACCAGGCAGTAGCCGCCCTTTGGGCGAATGAGGATGCCGTCGACGTCGGAGGAGGCGGCGGGGAAGTAGGTGCCGCCGCCGGTGAACTCCTCCTCGTGCGAGAGGCACAGGTTGAAGGTCAGCGCCGTCTCGTCCTTGTGCAGCTTGAGCCCGCGCCCACCGGGCCGCTGCGACGCCGCGGAGTAGCGCACGATGAAGAGGTTGCCGGGCCGGGGGTAGGGCTGCTTGTCAAAGGCAGCCGTCAGGTGCGGGTACTGTCGCCGCGCAAACGGGAGCAGCCGTTCGCGGATCGCGCGGTGGACCAGGTCCTGCGACTCCTTTGTCAGGTTTTGCACAAGGACGTCTGCAGCAGGCGGGTGGACGCGGGGTGAGGAGCGGCGGCGGCCAAAGGGGCGTCAGGGACGGGGGCGGGCAGCGCGGGCCGCGACAGGGCCCTCTCGCGGTTCTCCGAGAGCGCTCGCCGAGCGGCTCTGGGGCTTGCCGAACGGACGGCTCTCGGAAGGCTCTCGGAAGGCTCTCGGAAGGGTCCCAGAGGCGTGGCGCCTTGCGTCGGCAAGCTGACGCCGCGGTCGACCCACCCGATGGAGGATCCGATGCGCTTGGCATCGTCGAGCAGCGTCTTTGTGTCCTCGGGTGAGAACATCTGGAGCGCGTGCACCGACGAGGCGCGGCCCGAGCAGGGTGCCGACTTTTTCTGCTGCTCCGCGTGAAACTGGATGGTCGTCGACGTGGTCGGCACAAACACCGCTGCGCGGACCCGGCCTGTGGCGGGCGGCGCGGAGTGGCGGCGTGGGTGGAGGCGCGCGCAGCGCCGAGGGTGGGAGAGGCGGCGTGGCTGCTGCTGCGGCGGCGCGCGCCGTTCTGCGAGAAGCTCCCGGCCCCATCCACCCGCAAGACCTCGACGTTGGAGCGCACAGAGTGGCTGCCAGAGGTGGCGATCCGAAGCTCCCTGCAGGAGCTCTGCTTCTTCTGCTCGCTCTTTCCGCGCAGCCTGTCGCAAGAGGCGCGGAGGACGCGGCTGGTGAGAAACGAGGCAGCCGGCGCGCGAGGAGAGCTGGAGCTGACAATGGGTTGGCGGGAGTTTCGCGCGCGCGCAGGCAGCTTGCTGAGAATGGGGAGCTGCGCGGCGCGAGAGGCGGAGACGTCGCGTGGGCGAGCGGGACGCGGCGACAGAGGCACGTCCTGACGCCGCGCGGGGCACGTCGCCTCCCCATCCAGCCGGGATTGTGGTGGCTGGATGCCGGGTGATGACTGCGTTTCGCTTCGCCGCAGAGGCGGCGGGCCTTGGCCGGGCGTTTGGATTGGACGTGGGCTGGCGCAGGGCCGCTGGGCGTCCCCGAGAGGCTGGCGCTCACCCGCCGGTGAGCCACTGCATGGCGAAGCGCTCTGGGGCTCGGAGTGGACTTGGGCTGGGTCCGGCGTGCAGAGTCAGTTCAGGCTCTGTGACCTGCCATCAACATCACACACCCATTAGGGACCCCGACACCCGAAGTGATTCCGACAGCGTTCACGCCGTACTTGGTTGCCAGCGAAAGGGTTTGTTATTGTGAGGCCTGGGGGTCGACTAATTGTGAGGCGGAGGGAGAGAGAGTGTGTACAGAGTCAGAGAGAGAAGTGAGTGACGAAATACTATCACTCATGTGTGAGTAAGCTGTTGTAACCAGCACCCCCCGCCCGGACCCTGCACGGACCAACAACAAAAAGTGTCGCTCTGTTTTATGTCCCTCCATGCAGAGCATCTCTCTCTCTGTTGAGCGCTGGTGTTGTGCGAGGCGTGAACTGTCAGGCACTGTCCTGAGGGAGGGTGTTAGTCTGTAGAGGATGTAGAGTGTAGAGCGCTGTAGAGCTGTAGAGATGTAGAGCGCTGGAGAGCGCTGTAGAGCGCTGGAGAGCGCTGTAGAGCGCTGTAGAGCTGTAGAGCTCTACATCCGCCGCGGGACGAAGCGCCTCCGTTGTAGAGCGATGTAGAGGCGCTCTACAACGCAAAATCTCTACAACAAACTCTACATTCAAAAGCGGCGAACGAGGCACGGTCGCTCTCCGACATGAGGCGCGTTGCACTTGCCAGTGCGGCCCTGGCCTTCTGTCTGCCCGCCCAATGGGTGGCAGGTGCCTCTGCTGCTATGGCATGCCTCACGGCTGCGACTGGCCGGCGCCTCGGCGCGTCAGCTCGGCTCGGCGTAGTGATAGTGGCCAGCGCAACTCGCCTGGACTCAACGCTCAGCCAGGAGCTCCCGCACGCGCTGGCGCGAGTCATGGCGCATGCAACAATAGACGGTGCTCAGTCTGCGTACGACACGATGGCGACCGATCATCGTGACGAGGTACAATGCTCCCCAGCAGTCAACTTGCGCCTATCGTCGGTCTGCGGCGGCGGCTCCGGCTGTAGCGTTATCCGCTATCGGCGGCGAGGGGGTGGGGTTTTCGCGTCGTTCGCGCCGCCGCGGTCGGGGTTTCCTGGCACAATTCGATCGACGGCGAGGCTTACGGGGCGTGGCAACATCTGCACCGTGCGGGTCTAGCGCCACTGGCCTTGGAACAGCAGAGGACTCAGCCGCGACGACAGCCTCAAACAATGGCGTGTCGCGTGAGATAGGTGAACGAAGGCTTGGCAGCACGGCGACTGGCGGGGTAGAAGAAGGCCAAATAGGCAAAGCGAAGGGCGAGCTCGGGTGCAATATGGTTGGCATGGGCGGTGCCCCCGAGACGGCGTCGCAAGCGTCGTCTGGCTTAGCAGCGGTTGTAGCCTCGGCCGCGACGACAGCCTCGGATGGCGTGTCGCGCGAGGCGGCGGCGAGCGGTAAGCCTGACGGCGGTTCGACGAGAAGCGAGGCAGCGAGTGGCGAAGCTGCGCGGCTCGAGCTCGAAGGCGACGGCGATGGAGAAACGGCGCCGGAGTCGGCGCCTGGCTTAGCAGCGGCTGTGGCCTCGGCCGCGACGACAGCCTCGAGTGGCGTGTCGCGCGAGGCGGCGGCGAGCGGTGAGCCTGACGGCGAGCCCGACTGGAGCCTCGGAAGGAGGCGGCAAAGCAGGAGTACCGCCGGGAATGTGCGCCAGCGCAAGAGAAGCTGACGCGCGAAACGGCGAGGTGGGCGCAGGAGCAGCCTGCGGGAGAGTGGTGAGGAACAGACCCCAAGGGTGCGCGTCCTCGGCAGCGAGAACAAAGCGCTCACGAGCCACTGTGCGCGCCTCATGGATCGTGCTGAGCGAAGGATCCCGACCGAGTGCGCGCCATGCCACCCGGAGCTCGAAGCATGATACCGCCAAGCCCGGGGATAGGAACGCGGTGCTGTGCCACCGCGGGCGAGTGGCAGCAAGCAGAGTGTCGAAAGCCTCCGCCGGGAATTCGGGGAGATAGTACAGAGTGCCGCCGCAACCCGGAGTCGTTGCGGTCCGCGGCCCAGCCGGTGGAGGATAGCAACTTCAAGCGCTTCAGTCTCAGCTACGGGGAGAGCTATCCGGCGTACCAATACGGCCGCCTCGCGTGCACTTTCTGCAAGTCGCTCCTCGGCCGCGATTCCTTCTCCGCAGCCGAGGCGGCAAAGCCCATCGCAGTGCGCCGCTGCTTCGCGCATGCTAAGATATCGATCGAGGTGCTCAGGCGGCAGCAGCGTCCCATCTCGCCCGCGGAGCTGCTGCCCGAGGCGACGTGCCGCAGCTTGTGGCGGTACTTGCCACCGGGAGCAAAGGAGTTGCTGCTGCGGCACTCGTTTACTGACGCGAGGCGGCAGTGGATGGCGACCTTGAACGAGGCAGCGCCGCGCAAAGCGTTGCTGATGTCGCCCGCGGAGGAGGCGGCCAAGCAAGCACGAGCGCAGCTCGGCGCCGTCGAGCAGTGGGTGCCGCGCGGCGCAGTCTCGGATTCCTTCATGAACTCCCGTCCAGCCTGGAGGCGCAATCGGGTCGCCGCTGCGAGCACCGGCTCAATCGCTCGGCTCGCCAGTGAGCTCGTGCACGCAATGTGCAACCCGACGGGCGTGCGCTGCGACCGCCTCGACACGGCCAGCTTTGCTGTGGCGGGCGTGTCGGCAGCCGACGGGCTCGAGGCTGCTAAGAGGTGCTTCGACGTCCTGGCCGGCGGGCAAGGCACGAGCTCCGCTTCGCAGTGGGCTCGAGGACATGAGCTGAAGACGCTCGTGGGCACGATACACCGGTTCATTGTCGAGGCCGAGCGGGAGTCACGGCGCCAGCAGCCGCAGCCGCAGCGCAAGCGCGCAACGCGAGTCAACGAGGTGGCCGTTCAGGGCGGCTTTAGTGAGGGCGGGGCCTACGACAAGTCGACGGAGATGTGGCTGTTGCACGCTCGGAGGAGAAAGTGCGAGACTGCCGTGCTGCTGCCCCGCGCTGCCCCGCTCGCCGCGTCTCTCATCGAAAAGATGCGCCTCGACGGCCGGCTACCATCCTCGCCCGAGGCGCTCCGCGCCGCCAACCCTCTCGGCCGCAGCGGCGCGCTGGCTTGGCGCACGCTCTTCTTCTACAATCCGGCGGGCGTGTGGAACTGCGTGCTGCGAGCCTTTGCGAGCCTCGTCGGGCGCGGGCCAGCCAACCTCTTTGGCGCGCACGACCCGCTGCTGCTGCCCGAAGGGCTCATGACGCAGACGCTGGCGGACGCGCTTGGGTCTCGGCTGAAGGACGCGGCCGTCGGCGCTTTCCGACTCACCTACCCGTTCAAGGGCGCGCACGCGGCCGATGCCCTCGTCCGGTGTGTCGGACTGGGCGAGGGGTGCTTCCTCTACGGCTGCTTGGCTCGCAACGGCGCCGGCGAGCCTCAGCCGCACTGCATCGGCGTGAACGTGGACCTGCGAGTCGTGTACCGCGGCCCTGACGCGCTCGTCATCGAGGAGGAGGAGATGAGCGCGCCGCGGCTGCTGCTCACTCGCCTCGACGCCGAGTACGGCATCTCGTTTGACGACACCTGCGGAGTCCGTCAGCTCGAGATCAACCCGCACCACCCCGCCGCCTCCTCCTTCCCATACGCCAACCCCGCCCACCTCGCCAGCCGAGCCCGCCACCCCCGCCGCCCCCGCCGGCCCCGCCGCCCCCGGCGGCCTTTCGGGAGGGCAGCGTGCCCGCAGGAGGCAGGGAGGGCGACGGAGCGGTGACGGTCGCACCTCGGATGCGGCGAGATCTAGCCGAGATCTAGCCGAGATTCTAGCCGAGATCT